TATTATTCTCCTAATCAAGTCTTCATAGTAGTAACACTCCCTCATTAATTTTAGGCGGCACATTACAGTACACATCAGAAATTTCCAAACCATGTTCAGAATATAAGTGTTTCGCCCGGCCAGCGTGGCTCTGTGGTTGAGCAATGACCCATGATCCAGGAGATGGAGGTTTGTTTCCCGGTCAGGGCACATGCCCAGATTGCTGTTCGATCCCCAGCAGGGTGCATGCAGGAGGCAGCCCATCAATGACCCTTTCATCATTTTACAGAGGAGGCCTCAGAGCCCCTGAGAGGGGAGGTAGATTCCCCATAGCCACCCAGCTAGTCACGGGCCAATTGGGGTTGAAATTCAGTGCTGTCTCACTCCCTCACTGAGTTTTGCAGCAGGAGAGGATGTCCATGAGTGTGATGCTAACTGACATGGGTTCCTGACCCATGTCTATGTCCCCTGCAGCTATGAATTCAGACTCCCACATCTAGTAGGTGCTTGGTCATTCTTGGGGCTTCAAAGTGCAGTCTGGGATCCTGAAGGGTGGGACACAGATGGCTGAGTGTCTACCCCAAAACCTGAGCTCTTCCCTGATTAACTGAACTTCTCTTTTTTAACTGGGTACCCTGCTTTGGTTCTCAACCCTGCTGCTGGAACACAGATGTGATGGCTAAATCTCTAGCAGCCACCCTGGACCATGAGAACAAGGGCCACTCCCTAGGGACAGTGAAACAGAGCTGGAAGGAGCCTAGGATCCTGACAACTTCATGAAGCACCCAGGAAAGCCTACCTCTGGACTTCGTTTAGATGAGAAATAAAGCTCAATCTTGCTTAAACCACCACTAGTTGGGGGTTTTATGGCATATTCTATCAAACCTGATCAACAGCAAGGAAGGCTTGTGAAAGAGAAAAATATTGACCTAAGTTTGAGACATGTAGGATTCCACTTGACAGACAGAATGGGACAGCAGAGGGCTTAGAAGCTCTTCCTAAGGCTTAGGGAGGATAGGCTGGACAAGGGAGCTGAAGCCAGCTGCTGAGGGTCTAGAATGTTGGACTAACCTAGGGTGACTATAAGCCAGGAGCCAGGAGGTTTTGAGTGGAAGCGGTGTGATAACATCAGCATTTTAGCAAGGCAGATGTAGCAGCCTTTCCCAGGCCAGCAGAGCCAGGAGAGCCTGGATGAAAGAGAGCTGTTCGGTCAAATGTTTTCTTAATGCCTAGTAGATGAAGGCATTGTACTCCTAGGAAAGGCGGCACAGGAAAGAATCCTGGAGCTGAGTCTGAAAGATGTCAGGAAAGCACCAGGCACTCCTGTATCCTTTACAGCCATGACTCTCATGTCTGCCTCCACAGCCCACACAAACTCAGATTCCCAGGCCCACCCAGGAGAGTATGACCCACAGATAGAGACGGGGATCAGGATTCTGGATTTTTAGTAACTGTCCCCAGGTGATTCTATGTAGTTAGTCCATGGAAACATTGAATAGGCTAGAAGCAGTTCCTTATCTGGTACCTGGAACATAGGTTTGGATGTTTATTAAATAGGTGAACAAATAATATACTTCCATACTGTCAGACGACAACAAACCAGTAGATTTTGAAAGACCCAATAGTAGAAACAACATTTTTCTGGTTAAGTGAATGTGGGGTTTTTTTTGTTTTTAGCTATTTAATTAACCACAATATAATCTAAAGTCACTAATAACATTCTATGATCTATTTCTGCAACCATTTCAGCAAAAAGTGTTTATGTGTCACTTGAATATAGCCTAAGAGACCTCCGAGTGTGAGCATGAGTTCGATGCCAGCTCACTATAGCTCTGTTCTGCATCTTGCACACACGGTGGAGTCCCAGAGCCCAGCCTAAGGGAGGAGGAGCCTCCAGGCTGTCTCTAGACAGCTGGAATGGGCAAGGAACTCCCTTTTCCCAAAGTGTTCCAACACACTTCAAGGCAACTCTTTCTGGGAGTGAACTTACAAGAAGTGCTCCTTAAGGGGAAACATGGTACAAAAGGAAAACACTGGCCTAGGATGCAGGTCAGTAACCCCCCTACTTCATCCCCCAATTGGCCTTGGGCAAGTTTCCTCACCTGTTGTACTATATGCTCTTGAAGATCCCTTCCAGCTCTGATGCAACCAAGGTGAGAACTTTTACAGTTTCCTTCTTCCTAATTAATACTGGAAAATGATTCTCGGTATAAAATGCACTCTCATATATAAGGCATGATGTTTGGTGCTAGGAATACAATATTTAAGAGAAATCAGGGTCCATGCCCTTAAGGAGTTTATAACCTAGAAAGGCAGACAAATAATTCATTCAATAATTATATAATCAGAACTGTCATAAATATTAGTAAGGAAAAATACTTGGTGCTATGACAGCATAATAAGACCTCAGGAAAGTTTTACCAAGCAAATATAACATTTATGAGGAGCAATTTCTGCTGGAACTTATAAGCCCTTATCTGACCATCTGGCTGGAAGCCCCCAAACTCTCACCTCTCATGCCTCAACAGGGTGGTGTTAATACCTCAGGTCATTTGCAGCTGCCTCCAGGCCTTGGGTGACAGTTGTGGCTGTCAGAACTGCGCCCAGTAAAGGGAGAAAAACACATGAAACAGACTCCAAGCTGGGAACCTGGACCTGAGGCTGGATCTGCCTCTAGACCAATATTTCTGGTGCTGACTATGTGCTGGGGATTATGCATAGGGATGGGAGATAAGACATGATATTGTCATAGCACCAGGAAGATACACAAGGGAGGGAGAGGAAGACATGCCTTTCAAAAGGGGGTTCCTTGGACAGCTCCAAGGAGTGGATAGTATCTGAAGATGGGCAAGACTTGGAGATGGAGAGAGAAATCATCCTGACGGTAGAACAACATAAGCAAAGCATGTAGGTTGGAAAGCACTGGGTGTGCAACAAGCTGCGGCTGGAGCTCTGGATAAGCGGTGGCAGAGACCTGGCAATGATGCAGAGTAGGCCCGAGTTGCTACCACGGACTTAGAAAGTGAACAGATGACAATGCTGATCTTCAGGATGATGTCTGGTATCAAATCACAGCTCCGCCCAGGCTGGCCCTCTGACCAAGGGCCCTCAGTTTTCTCCATAGGACTAGCACAGAGTTCAAGCATTACGGTCCTAAGGATCACCTGGGACAGGTTGCCAGACCTTACCTCCAGTTGGAAGATTCCAATTAAGTAAATCAAGATGAGTCCCAGGCTGAAAACCCCAGGTCAAACCGTGGGTCCTAAGGGCCGCTCCAGCCACAAGTTCCAGGCCCTGGATTCTTGGCCTTCTACAACACAAAGTCCAGGCCCAGGTGACCTTCTCTGACTACGGTGGGTGTTCCTGATAAACCTTTGATGTTGGGGGGCGGGGAGCAGGAATGGAGAGCTGTGGAGGGCTGGGCGCAGACTATCTCCTAGTGTAGGGACACTCTCAAGATAGGTGAAAGCTAAGAGTAGCCAAGGCCCCAGGAGGAAAGGAAGGACATGGTGGGAAGACAGTACAGCTTGTGTAAAGGCATATTCAGTTAAGATCTAATGTGTACGTGGGAGAAGTATGAGAAGCAAAGCTGGAGAGGAGGGCCAGGCCCACAACACAGATAGCCCTACCAAGAAACTGGGACTTGATTCTGTGGGCAACAAAAAACCACTGCAGACCCTTAAATCCTGCAGGATCCCCTTAGTCAACTACTGGGCACAAACACATGGTACACACTATTCTTGCCTCGCCACCACAGCCTACCACCAACATCTGTCTCCATCCTTTAGGATCGCCTGCTACTCCTATCCAAAAATCAGACCTCGGATCCCCTCTGTGCAGCTACTAGGTCAAAAGGAGGCAAGCAATTTGACTGAGGCAATTAACACTAAGCCAGGAACCCAATCTTTGAAATGATAGGCAGAGGCTGGTCCAGCCTGGAACAGGTGGCTGGCTAGCTCTGCTCTCCCCAGAGCCTATCTGTACCTCTTACNACTAAGCCAGGAACCCAATCTTTGAAATGATAGGCAGAGGCTGGTCCAGCCTGGAACAGATGGCTGGCTAGCTCTGCTCTCCCCAGAGCCTATCTGCACCTCTTACAGCTTTCTCTCTCTTGCTCCCTGGGAGGGTCCAGCAACTTCCCTAAATGAGTTCATGATCGCGAGGCTCGCAGAGCAGGGAGCACAGCGAGCGGATGAGGCGGTTCACGCCGGCTGGCACTGAGCTTGACCAGTTCCGACCGAAAGCCCTTATAACTGTAAGAAACGTCATGGCAACTTCAATTCCAGCGGCCTCACTAAGACCTGTCCAGAAGACTGCACAGGGTGCCTGCTGGTGCCTTCAAACAGCCCGCTTCAGCCTCAAGAGTCAGACTAAGAATGAAAAGAGGTGCAGACTCTGAAGGTCCTGCTCAGTCTTCAACGCTAGCGAAGGGGAGGGGGGTGCCTATCTTTCTAGGGGGCCGCAGTTCATGGGGGCGGGGCGTGGAGAGCTGGTCAGGGTTGTCAGGG